GGGGAATGGACCTTCCCCTTCAGTCCGAGGATGTAGGACACCACAAGGTAGTGAAAACATGTCTCAGGAGACAGCTGGAGAGACTGACCTAAGATCTTGGGAGAGCTTGTCAGCGGCCTTTGCTCCACAAGGAACAGCAAAGGGGGAAATAGGTCAGCAACATGTTTCTACAGATGTCAACAACAAAGGAAAAAACCAATTCCATTTCATTGTACAAGACAAATTAAAGAAAGTTCAACTCACAATCGTTATCCTACTTTTCAAAAACAGTCAGGATATGGATAACAAAAACACGTCTGGGATTATCGAATGTGTTAGACACCGCCATAATTTGGCCTTTTGCTGTACACCAGGTTTTCTTAGCACATTTTTTTCTAATTTTGCACATTTTGTTTTTCACATCGCGGTTTCAGTTACCCAATGTCATGTGTTCAGTGCAGCAACACCCCTTTTAACATTTGGCTAACAACTTGAATTCCCAAACCACCTTAAAAATTGCAGATGCGTTCAAACCCCCATTGTATACAACATGTATTTTTACATTAGGTTCCTTAGAAAAATGATAATACTGAAAACAACCTAACACTACATGGCCTATACCCATATATTTTAAACATTACCAATACCATCTCAGTAAAGCCCTACCAACCCAATGAACATACAAAAAGCCGCTTCAACATTAATGTGACCTCCTCTCGCTGCACCTCTTCTTCTTCTCCAGCAAATAACAACACTATAAGGCATACCATAATTTGTAGGTTTCAGAATTAATTTCTCTTGCAAACAGGATATAATGTATGTGACTTCCTTCTCTCCAACTAAAACCTCAAAGCGACTGACTCTAACAGGAAAAATTGTAAACACAACTGCAACTATAAGCATAAATCAGCCAGGCTGCTCAATTCTGCTGGATTGTCTTTTGTTCCCAGTTCACTTCTTCCTTCCACACAAAGGGTTGACAAACAAAAGTGCTACGTTATAATCACATCATCAGTTCTAACACACATTATCAATATTGTCATATACAGGAGGTAACAATGTTCAAAACTTTCATTTTTTCTTGAAAAAAGACATGAGAGATGTCTGCTTTCCTTTCTGAGGCGAGGCGACAGACTTCTTTGGTGCCTGAAATACAAGAACAAATAAGAAAACCATCATGAAAAACAAGCACTTTTTTTAAAATTGGAGGGTGGAGGAAACCCCAATGCAAAGGGAACATTATGTTACGTCCTTCAAATGAGCACTTTATTGGCCTTTAACTTAACCATGCACCTCCATAAGTACAGAGGGAAAGAAAGTATAGTGTGATACTTGCAATGACCTTTTAATTTTGTCCCACAGTAAAATTTTAAAAAAAGGAAAATATTGCTTTACTTGATAAAAACATGGCTGAAATTACTTTCATTTACTAAGGAAAGGAAATATTGAAAGCGAAATGGTTTATCTTCTCTTACAGCACATTTATCATATATGTGAGGCATGCTGACAAAATGAGTTACTTTTTGTATTTTAGCCCTAAGGATATGTGGATACATCAAATTTATAGGCTGAATTTGTACAATTTATAATTTTAAGAAATGATAAAGACATGTTGAAGAAAACGGTGGATTTTTCAGCGGATGTCGTCATTATTACATCGCGAGAATTAAGTAATTTTGTCAGCATGTCTAACATAATAGGTCCACACGTGTTTAAACCACACCAGTCATATTTGACAGTCGAGGTTAACAAATTTTTTCAAGATGGCCATGAGGAAATTTTTTTTAAAGGGGCAAGTTGCTACAAAAAAGTTTAGTCATGTCTACATTAATTACCCTTTTTAATCAGAGAAGAAGCTGAAATAGCCTGTTTTCAAATTTTTCCTAGCCCATACAATGAGAGAAAATTTCAGTTTGTTTATTAAAGTAGAGCTATAACAGGTTGTTTTTTTCCTTCTAAAATACCTTAATTTTCATATTCAAATATAAAAAACCACAGGGCTCCGTATTAGGGCGTTGTTTCTTGAATCCATGTTTATTTACATGACAAATATTACAATCTTTTTTTCAATCTGCATGTTTCACCCTTTATTTTTGGATTCTAAATCTTTAAAATCTGCTCAAGTCAAAAAGCTGCTACTTGACATGTAAATCAGGAATCAAAGGGCATGGTCTGAATAAGTTAATAACAAAAGATCTGTAACTGAAATCTGTGACACTTTCCTACGAGAGATTCCTCTCTGAGTGTGCTGTACCACGAGATAATGCACAGAAATATAAGCGGAACTTTTGTGTCTCCTGTACAAATTAGATATGTGAACTGGAGAGAGTGGTGATGAAGCAAGATGACAGAACATTATTAGAAAATAGGACATGAGGTGAAGGGAGAAAATTTTAGAGAAAATTTTTTTTTCGTCACCCTTAGGTTTTGAACCTGGAGCCTTTAAAATGACAAGCAAACATCGTACCTCTAGACTATGAAAGTACCTCCCCAAGGCCCCACTAGGTCATTGACTGGATTTGCATCGACACCAAAGTTCATCCAGCTTTCCCCCCTCCCTCCCCCGCACACACAAATGGGTACACAATTAATTTCTAAGGCCGACTGTGGGTCACTTAGGTGCAATTCACCATGTTGGATGCTGTTTTGCTTCATTTGCTTTTCTCCTGCTGTCTTGTCCATTTGTTTTTGATAAGACTTTGTCAGCAGAGATTTTAACCACAGAAAATCAAAATGAGTATTGGGAAATATGAAAATGTGTATTTTCAGGGGGAAATGTGTATTCCCCACGACCGACCGACCAACCAGTAAAATGTTCAGGGTGTCCAGCAATATTTCCTGAAAAAAAATTACTAGCTCACCAGCTCAAAAAAGGGAGCACACACACATACAATATACATGTATCTAGTCAACAACATGCTAGTGTTCAGTGTCATACTGGGGTCTTGTTTGACTTAAGTATTTCAGTCTATTATAATATTTTCGTCTCATTATTATATGAAAAATTAATCCTGCTTTGAGCGTTCGGAAGGGCCTAGAACAAGAATTTCGACTATCAAGAACCAGTCTGGGTGTCATGGTTCAGGTTATGAACTGACAGACTAAAATTATTGCTCAAACTCAGAGAAGAGCAATAACTTGAATGGCTCAAGTAGACCCATGCACTGTGAGAGTTGTTACAACTGTGGGAGGGCAAGATACAGTGACACTGAAAATCTGCCAGTCTTGAAACAGAAAGCCAAGCAGACCTGCTTGTACTGTTGAAGCAAGAGAGGTTAACAGAGTAAGTCTGATGATTCCCCGTAATGTAAGGACTTCTCTGTTGACACCCATGCCGCACCCCTTGGCGCTCATGTGACCTTATGCAGTCGCGAGCGCCGTAAAACCCTCTACTAAACTTAACTACAACAGAAAGCTACAACATACACTGTAGGTATAATTTACTATCACCCATCCAATGAAACGTGAACACTTTATTTCAATAACACAGACTTGCAAAGTATGAAGGGTCCCGATTCCGCACACGGCCTGCACCAACGCGCACTTTGCAGAGAGCTCTAATCAAAATACTGAAATAGCTTCAAAGTATTTGTCCTTTGGTGTTGCCTTCAACCCCCCCCCCCCTCACCCCAGTGTATCTTTAAAAAAAATCAATAACCCCCTCCCCTATTCCGTAGTCCTATACTTCGCCATGCCATTACTCCCACCAAAGACGGTCTTTGCTCACAGTCACAAGATGCCGTATTTTTATGATGTGAATGCGCGCAGGGTCACTGACCGGTCACGGTGGCGAGCCAGACAATCTAAAAATCGGACGACGCTTGTATTTTCTTTTCTTTTCTTACCACAAGTGACAGTAGAGAGACGAGTCGGAGTATTGATTAAATTTTATTTGCACGGCGACACAGCGTTTATACTGCACAACCTGAACGTCACAAATGTTGCGTTATCATATCAGACTACCGCTGGCAAACTTTTGGTGGTAACGAAAGCGAAGGTAGAGCTTGATTTTCCCGGTCGGGCCTCGGTGTTACATACACTTCCGCCTGCCGCCTGTCCGCGTGAAAGTGAAACGTACTCTCGGACGGGGAAAGGCTGAACGAATATAGTATCACAATCGCGATCGGCAAAATTGAACTAACTGACGTTATCGGACTTGATTTTCAAATATTCCAGTTCCGCGATATTGGAACTATTTTGACAAAAGATGGGACTTGAGATAATCATCTTGTATTTTTCGCATTCCAGGATACATATTTTTTCATGAAAAGTCGTATTCGCGTATTTTCGGCAAAAAATCATACTAAAATACTTAAATTCGTACTGGTTGGCATCTCTGTGCAATGATAAGACCACTGTTATAGCCAAGTATGTCTGTCCAAATGCCTGCTACAAAAGAACTTTTTCACTATACACTATAAGAAACTGAACTTGAGGATTTATCATTAAGCAATCTATAGCCGGAATCTCCTGTTATAATCATGACTGTTATAAGTGCGGACCACTGTACTCACTGCTTTGCTCTTCGGCTCTTGTTTCTGTCCCCCTTTAGATGGCTTGCTCTCAGCTGCCTTACTAACTCCAGTCTTTTCTTTGTCTGCTGTTTTCTTGTCCTCCTCAGCATCAGAAGCATCCGTGGAGTCGCTCTCCCACACTTTCTCTGTAACTGTAAGTTAAAAAGAAAATTTTTTTTCCCAATCACTAAATGGAAGAAAAAGCAAAAGAGTACCTTTACAAAGGGAATGCACAAAGCATTTTCAGCAAATATAATGAGCTAACGTTCATCAAAAGCAAATAAAGGGCTCAATGGATTAACAGTAAATAACAGGTATTACCATGAACTGGAATTTGAGAGGGTATCAATTTTATGAAGACTCTGACTACATTTCTTTTCAACTGTTATTGATTGCAACAGTTTGGTTTCACATTCAATGAACAATAACAATAAACCACCAGTCAAACAAAAATGTTTAACAATTACAATTCACACCCTCACAATTTCCAGTTTGTGAGAGCACCTATGAGTGTAAAAATCGAAAGAAAAACAAGGAAACAAGAAAAAAACAAAACTGTGCCTCCAGAAAACCAATACAAATTAATATTTTTCAAAACTATCATTAAAAAACTTTTTAAAAAATGACAGAAGATGAAAAGCTCTCACCCATAAACCCATCCTCATCAACATACTGCTTGGGTACAAGTTTCCTTGTTCGTTTTCTCTTCCTACTTCCGTCAGCTGGTTGAGATATTTTTGACTTCTCTTTCTTCTTCTCCGGTTCTGGAGCCTTTTCTTCTTCATTTTCACTCTCTACTAAGGCAACATTCTCTGCGCTGTTATCTTCATCACTGTCATCAACTTTCACAACTGCTTGTGGGTTTTCTTGGTCAGACATTGCAGTCTCTGTAAGGAAAAGGAAATCATAAATGATACAATAGAAAATACTTTAAAGGCACCTGCCCAAGTAACCACCACACAC